ATATACCACATCCACCGTCCTCCCTCCATCCATATCTCTACTTACCCCCTCATAAAAAGTTAGCAAGTTAGTCAGGCAGGAACGGTCTTTCCTGAACCCATGCTGATTGTCATTAACTACCCTCAGGAAGATAATTATTTTCTTTCTTTTATGGTCCTAACCAGGTTAGAATATTGTGGCAATGTTTTAAAAAATGTATAGACCCCATTTACACTTGCAGATGAGACCGGATTTCTGATTCTCACAAATTCTTCCATACGCCTCATGCAATCAGCTGTGGGCAGGAGATTCTGTACATTACAATGACAGCTGCCACTCCCCACAGGTGTTCCCAGGCCATTCACATGTAGTTGCACATGTGAGAGTGTTTGTGCCCAGGGGCGATTGTCCGCAGCTAATCGCAGCATGTGTGATTACATGCAAATGACCTGCAAACACCTGCGAGCAGTGGCAGCTGTCATTGTATTGTAAAGCAACTTAGCCAATCGCATGAGTCTCGTGGAGAAATTTGTGAGACTCAGCAATCCGGTCCCAAGTATGAATGGGGCCACAACAGATATACTATCAGGGCTATTCATAAAAGGGTGAAGAGTTTGGAGAAGACAGGATATGTGAACAATCTAGAACACCATAGCTGAACTGTAAAGTGAGTTGAATTGGAGAACTTTTCCAAATCAGCTATGGTGTTGTAGATTGTTCACTTCTCCTGCCTTCTCCAAACTCTTCACCCTTTTGTGAATAGTTCTGTATATTTCTAATCACGGCAGCATTCCTACTGAGCCAAATGGTAAAGCTAGCTGTGGTGCATGTATGTCAGCTTTATTCCTTAATATTGCTGGCGTAAAAGCAACTTCTGGGTGACTGTACAATAATGAACTTCAAGAGTAACAAGGTTTGGATGTTCACACCTCTAGAAGTCTGTGAATCAACCTGCTAACATCTACCTAAAACTAGACATTCAAGTTTGGAAGGACTTAAAGCAGAACTCCAGGCACAGAGTTTTTGAGTCATATATGTAGCGGGGAAATAGTTACCTCTGCTAATATTTATGCCATGTTCAGATCACTTCTGTGTAGTGAAAAATTCATACTTTCCTTCATGCCGGATAGTAAAGTATTCCTGTACTTCCGGCCAGCTGCAACTAAAAAAATATGGCTCTCATACAGGTTCTCATACAGGCATACAGGCCCTCATACAGGCAACCCCCCTCCCTTCCCGCATCCATTTGGAGAGAGCATTGTATTCTATGAATTGTTCACAAAACCATTAACTAAGCTCATATGTCTCTAAATATCACCAAGTCATAAGAACAGCATGATAACGATCCAATTTTCCCTGCGTGTTTAAAGCACATAAAGTCACTCGTATTTCTCCAATATAACTTTACTTCCTTTTAGCTATAACAGGTCTCTCGCAAACACTATTACCTATCCATTTTGTCTTCCCCAAACACAGCATGAAGCCTGCAGGTTTCCATAACAACAGCACATAGCTCTCATCTCCACTTTTAATGATAGACAGGTGCCAGCATCACTGGATAATAAACAGGGAAAAATTAGAGTTAAAGGCTCTAATATTGGCAGTTTCTTAATCACCATAATGAGCCACAGTTACAGTTTAAAAGGTGGTACTGTGCCATAGGATATGAAGCAACTAAGTGATCACAGCAGGGCTGTTTTATCACCCGATCCATCTGTCAAAGGAAGATGTTATACACCTCTGTGTGTTTAACCATGTTTGCAGGCTGGGTGTTCCTGTGAATTGACATAATCCATTTTCCACTTATGTCTGAACATTTTTTATTTTGAAACATTTATTCAGGATCTTTATACTCTGTGATAGTCACAAAGGATGACAAGTTACATTTTAATGGGTAAATCCACCTAAAAGTGATATTTTAGTGACAGGTAGAACCTGACTTTTTAATGTATTGGATACTCTTACAGTGAGATTTCCCTGCCGTGATTCTGAACTATGTTCCTGTTCAACTTGGAGTTTTGGGTGCTGCCACCCACCTTTATGCCTTCAGCTTATACTGTTACATTGTAATAATAAAACCACTGTGCTATGTGAATGTATAATAAGCTGCTGTGCCGAAAACACTATTCTCAATATCGTGAATCAAGTGAGCACTTTTCTATCTCCCTGAGGTATCGGTGACCAATTTCAATAAGAGGAAACCAGGAAGCTACACGACGCATATATTGCTACATAGGATCATAGAAGATCTGATAGAGGCGATTTGTGAAAATTCCTAATCGGCAACCTGGACGGCTACACCATGGATGAAAGAGAGGAGTAATTAAGCAATCTTTGGTCAGCCCATAAAAAGGTGACCACAAACAGCAGGTGAGTGCACATTTCAGACGTTTCATATCACAAAATCAAGATGAAGAGCAAGGAGATTGCCATATAATACTGACCACTAGGATAGATTGGAAACCATCACTATGAGGGTTATTCACAAAGCTAGCCGAAGGATCAAAAGTAATCTTTTGTAAAGTATAGCTTTATTTTAGCAGTGTCCCATACATAAGTGATGACCATGGAAACATAATGCTTATATTGGAATACAGAACATATGCAGTTTTCTCTTGTGTATACACAGGTGCCCCATGACTAATCATAGAAAGTCTCAATGATTACATCAACAAGGACCTGTCTACAGGTCACCCTGAGAGGTGACATAATTATTGTAGAGCATATGTGTGGCCAGCTCCAGGCTCATCTTTTGAAGCCACTGGAGTTTTGTCACTGTGCCAGCTGTCTGGGGAACAGGAAATGAGGTAGGTAATTCACCTTATTTATCATCCCCTAGACAAAACAAGCAGTTAACCCATGCAGGGCAGAGTAGCAGCCACTGCAAGGGCAGCTTTGTTTCTACCTAGAATTGAAATTGAAAAAGAAGTAAACAAACATTACAGAGGATAAAACTTAAAGACACATTTCAAAAGTTGCCAATTCTGCAATTGAACCAACTAACTCCATACATAAACTACTACAAGTGTGCTATTTACCATTGTAATTTTTAATTTCTGTCAAAATCCAGAGATAGGAACCACCTACATATAATCCTGGCTAGGATCTTATTCAGGCTAATCACAGTGATTTGAAGACTGGAATTGTATTCATACATAAGGAACAACCATGTGAAAACTCAGTGCAACTTTCTCAGCCATTATTTTTTCCATTAATGCTTTCTAAAAACCATAGACACTAAGGTGGCTCCAATTTCTGGCATTGTTTTTCCTTACATCTATCTTAGCCCCTACTGTTCATAATAATAAAACCACAAACCTGACCCTACAGTAGGTACTATTATCCCTCTACAGAGGTCCAATGAAAATGACAAAAAAAAATGTAACCATAGCAACTGATTCAGGTGACTAAGAGCCACAAAGAAAGAATTAAAAGGAAAAAAATTGTGCCGAAAGTTGTTTTTTCTGTTTATCTTTTCTTGTGCTGCAGTTTATGACAGTAATAATAGCTTCCTCAGAGAATCATTGTAGGCAAGCACACAGCACAACAGAGCTGTTATCACATAGATAATAGACATTTAGAACTTGGCAATATTACTTACTCATTATTGCACAACGCACATATGGAGAAAGAAGTATCTGTTTGAAAATATAACTGGACCTTTACCTTTTTCTGACCAAACAAATGGATAAATGGCTCTAAACAGGGATAAAGCAAATGATTTTGGAAACATATTCACCATAAGAAGTCTCAGCTGACATTTCCTTGTGGAAATGAGCTGTATGCTCCTTACGTAAACTGTCTTTAAAATGATAAACCACTGGCTCCCCACTATGTTTTAGTCAATTCAAAGCAGCCACAAAGGCCATTCATTGCACAGAGACATTTTCCATGCCAAATTTATCATGTGCAGTGGACTGACATATGTGCCAATACAAGGCATTAGCACAAATATGTCATTTTATTGACATTATCAATTGAATATATTTATTCCAGACTGTCTACTGTACATACCTGTGGGAAAGCACATCTCCTTGTTGCCTTCAAGGAAGATTTAATTCTGAAAGGTGGCTGTAATAAACGTCCTAGTCCTGTGTCTCTTTGATACCTCTGGTTTTCTATATTTGATGAACAGTAAGGAATGCAGTAGATGTTTTTGCAAATGTATTGCTTGCATTACAAACCTGTAAGCAAGGAAAGATGTTTCTTTATGATCTGTTCCCTATCAAAAGGAAATGGGTGGACTAGTACACTACAGTTTTGCATGAATTAAACAAACTTAAGCCCAGAGGAAGTCGGCAATCCTCTGTGTATGCATTTCAAAGCATTGTCTTCAATTTTCACTAAAGTGTACATTTAAAGTAGATGTAAACCCCAAATGGATGACATTTCGTTTGCAAAAACACTGTTGTGTATGATTAACAATGCCATTTAGTACTATAGGGTGGATTCACTAAAGGCAGCCTTGACCTTAGCTTAGTGAATGTTATGAAAATTCACTTTGCACGGAAAATTTTTAAAAAACAGTAATTTTTTCTTGCATATAATTGAATGATGGAAGTAAGCTTTACTTCGTTCACTAACCTAAGGGAAAATTCCCTTGTAAAGTGAACAATCTATTTGCCTTTAGTAAATCAACCCCAGTGTATCAAACATTTGCCATGTTTTTTTCCTATGTTTTCATCAATTTTTTCTTGTCCTTGTTACTGATCTCCTCCAGCTTTTTTTATCCACTCCATGTCTATATGCACACACTCAAGCAGCAGCTGCAAATATTTGGTGTGGACTGGCTTCCTGTCTCCAAAATGTGTGTCGGCACAGTCTCTTGTTGTCTCCAACAGGAACACAAGTGACAGGGAAGAACAATTGAAACAGTAAATATAATTTGTACATGTGTTGGTACCTAATCAATAAAGAAGACTTCAAATAGACAATGTTGGTACCTACAACAAATGATAAAACTATATTTCTACAAAATGGCAAGAGATTAGGTTAATTGCAGTAGGAAAATAGAAAATTACCTCTGGTATCTTGACTCTTCCTTCCTGGAAAGAACATGTCTGTGGATCATGGGTACACACGTGTCTGTATTTACACCAGTGACATTGATATGGACTCTCAACACAAGAGAGGCACCTATAACCGAAGAAGGATATACATTTTATAGCTTTTACTTTATTCTTTACGTGCATGTTAACAATAATGTCAATTTAGTTTTCTGATATAAAATTATAAAATTTAAAAAATTATAAAATATATAAAATTAAATAGATTTTTTTTCTGATTTATCCGTAGTTATTGTGGTTTTAAGTAGGCTAAGGGTATTTTGGACTCCTACACTAAGATATCAATTTATTAATTTGTGGTGGTATTATTTTAATTCAGTACAGGACTTATAATTTGCTACATTTGTACAGAATCCATTTCTAAAAATGTAAAAGATATTTTAAAACACTGCTTTATCTGGCTTACACTGTGTCAGAGTCATAATGGTTAAGTATGCAAAGATATGGTTTATATTTTAGGTGTTATTCCATGCCCAATCCGCTGTATAAAGCACACCTATACTGTATTATCAAACATTAAAACTTTGTGAGTTTATTTGTTTTAAAATTTCTGCAATGTATGTTTAACAGAGTAGAAAACCAAAAAAATTACTTTGGTGAAACAAAACTTTCTGTGAAATTATTGTTAAATTTACAGTTCTTTAATAAACAAACTAAAGACAACTACTGTAATGAGAAATTTTGATTTCAAATATAAGCTACAGGTTACCTTTAATGCCTGCCCCTGCAGCCACTTATACTTCTCTTTCCTTCCACCAGCTCCATTTACATGTGGAAGCAAAGAGATGAAGCCAGGTAAGCTCCAAGTCATGACCTGAGCTTATACAGGTTGTAATTTTTGCCCCATTCCTATGTGTCAGTACTGGGTGTCTGAGAGGGCCAGTCACCAAGCACCAGCAGTATCACATACAAGGAAGAGCAGTGAGTCACATATTACCCATTCACATGACAATTTTCCTTGTCAGTGACTTAGTTATTTATAGCACACAACAGGGACACTCCTTCATCAGCCAGTGTACTGGGCATGTCGGTAAGACATTCTAGTTCTGTCAGACACAAAGTAGGTTTTGGGAGGAGACCAGGGTGCTCTGGCACCCTGGGGTGCCTTCTGGTTTCCTTAGGGGTGCCACAATTTTACCAGCACCATGGAAACCAAAGACAATAATCCAGGGACGGTAGAATCCATTCAGAAAAGGGTGGTACTGGCCTCCTCTGCCTCTCAACTTCTGTCATGTTGCCAGAGCTGCAGCTCCTGATATGAAGGAATGTGAAGAGAAAGCTTCTGATTATGAAAAGGGGGATGTGAAAGAGTGGGACTCTGATGTCAAAGGAGGGGGATTATGATGTAAAGGAGGGCTCTAATGTGAAAGGGGGGTGTTTTGGTGTGTAGAGGGCTCCTTATTTAAAGGGGGAACTCTGATTTAATGCACTCTTTTTATATGTTTTTGCGTGGGGTATCCCCTTACAATGGTATGGGTTTTTGAGGGGCCACACATCATTTATGTTTTTGAAATTTAAGACGGGTGCCTCAACATTTTGTATACTTTTCAAGGGTGCCATTACAGAAAAAAGGTTGAGAAAGGCTGATTTAAACTACCAAGAGGGGAGGCTTAAATCACAAGCATGAATAACTCTTGTGTAAACATGTCTTGTGTCAGCTAGCTCATATAAGGTTCATGGAATTACCACAAATTCAGTTGTCTGTTTTCAATATTTAACATCACACTAACCACTAATTAAGAATCCTCAATATAAACTATAACAACTGATA